ATGCTCTCCATTTCGTAATGGTCTGGCAAAGGCTGCTGTAGGCTCCTTAAAATATGACTTAAAATGCTCTCTTGGGCAAAATTGCAGTTTCTGAATTGCATACGTTGCTGATACAAATAGCATATTAAACTCATGACCCTTAATAGTTTACTCTGAGAAGGACACTGAAGCTTTCATAATAACTCCAAATCATTTAATATATAAACACTCGCTCAACTCACTGGCTTTCGATCAAGAATCAAATCCCCAATCAAAACACCCACACGTTATCACACGGTGAAAAGGAATTGAACATTATTTGGAAATTCTGGACTCGAAATTATCTTACCTCGCTACAAGCTCGCACAAAATGGAAATGTTTCTTCAGATCTGAAAAAAGGTGATCTCGTCATTTTAATTGAATATTTTCCACCTCCTTTGTGGACTTCATTCAGACTTTCCCTGACTGCAAGCAATGTAAGAACGGTACAGGTCAAAATAGCGTCGGGCAGGACCACAAGGCCGGTACAAAAATTATGTTTTACCAAAGAAACGTAAATGATGATTCAAATAAACCCTCATGGGGCATATCGATTCTCAGATATTGCCACGGGCCTTGGCGTTCCCGGGGACCTGAGGCTACTGGATCCACCCACCATTTTGTTTGCCATTTCCTTTGTTTGTTTTTTTATAAAATCAAAACAGAATTAGATAAAACACTTTTTACAGTGCTAATTTGACTCTCGCCACCCACCCCATAGGGGCGTCTATGACTCTTCTCTTCATTTGATTCAGATTTCCAGTCATTTTAATGAAAATTGGGATTACAGTTCTCTGCTGGTAGGATTTTTACATATTCAGCCAGGAAATCGTCAGAATTGGACAACTTTTCAAAATAACATGCTCTAGACGTTCAGTGATACGAGCTGTGGTAATTATATTATAACGCAGATTTTCTTATATTATCTCCTTTTTATTTTTGAATTCTCACCGTCGTATTGGGGGGATGGCAGGTCAGAAATGGGATTCGTGTCATGCGTTCGCACAACGATCGTGTTTGTTACTTAGTATGCTTTCTTTCAAGGCTACGCCCCGTTCATTAATTCCTTATTTTACATATGGGGCTTGGAAACGCGGTTCCCTCTATATCAAGGTTCCTATCAAATCTCGCCTTTCGAATGCAAGTAAATAAGCATTCGGTTTCAATTAAACGCATTCAAATCTCCCTCTAGTCATTTCTTTGACGTTCCAGTTCCGGCCTTGGGCCACTCGTACAATTGTTCATTAGAATCAGGGACTGTATTAACACTCTGCGCCTCGCGGTTTGGTCAAACATGTTCAAAGCCGATATATCGAAACAGGGTGGCACAATTTGCTGTCTACAGACAGTGACAATCGGTTCTACGGTGTCTGGGCCCTACGCTTCTTAGCCCGGTTCGATTCCTTTCGGGGGCGGAAATTATGTTAGCACATGGACAACCAAATTAATTCAAATTTGGCACCATGCTTAGAACAATTCAGTTTCGCTGCTCTTTGAAGGCGTTTCGAAGAACACATTGTACATTTCAAACTTCCCGCCTTCGAAGCTCAAAAACGGCGCGATTTCCTTCCCAATTGACCAAATACTTATTTTTTGTCAAACTTCTTTGACATCGATTGTAAACTGCTTTCAGATAGTTCTAAGAATCACCAAAAGGTCGCACCATCTCCTAAACCAAAGACATGTTAAATAAACTAGACTCACTGAGAGCGCTTCTGTGAATGATTTGAATAGGTTGCCCGCAGCTATTGTACTGAAAGAAACGTGCTTAGAGCATGGGAAGAGTATCCCCAGTACTCAGTACTGCTAGTACTTCCTGACGACTGATAACGAGTTAGTGTTTGTCTTTGGCTGTTATAGGTGTAGTAGTTATAGGTTAGTACGCTATTTTATGTGAAAACATTCATATTGCACTACCTTCTGTCTTAGGGTTTTAATTAAAATTGTTTTTTCCAGTGGTATTTTAGAGAGTCATATTTGTACTTATTGAAAACCAAAAGGTTGATCAAATAACATTATCAATATGGAATTTTATTGAAATGTAGTGTTAAACTTTCTAAATCATCACTATCTCTTGATGTTTCGAGGAGCACTTTTCCTTTTCTTCAGGAGTCTTTTTGATATAAGGAGATATTCTTGTAAGCTAAATTACAATTTTGTAACATTTAGGACATAAGTAAAACAAATTAACTAAAATAAATTACAATTTTTGTGTCTTATATGTTTTAAGTAAAATAAATGGATGTATATTATAATAGATATGTACCAGGTATAAATGAGCTCACTTAATAATTAATATTATTCCTATTTAGAATCTACCTCCAATTTTTGTAAAAATCTTACATTTTGCAAAGAAGCAAACCCTCAATACCACTTTCCATGGTGTCAGAGGCCATACTGAGCAGAAAAATGGGTAGGGACAAACTGATAGATATTTCAATTTGAATAAAGAAAAAAATTGTAAGGTGGAATTTTATATACCTTGTTACAAATTATTTGTTGTTTATTTTATGTAGCAGTACATAGTATTTATTTTATTAGCAATATACATTTAATAAGTCCTCTAAAACAAAATTGGACAAAGAAATCTAATGAAAATGTTCGTATCTACGTGTATTGTTATAAAATAGTGAGATGTATGAAAACAACGGCCGCAGTGTGGTCATTTGTTCGTGTGTTTTATCGTATCTTATTATTTCTGTTACACTCTCTCAAACCGCACCTGAAACAAATGGAAACGTAGCCTTAACTTTGAAACCCGCGCGCAATTCATCCACTACAATGGCGGCCATAGCTTCCTTCAATTTATCCGGTGTCCTGATCTCTCCGTCCACAGCATTGTGGGGGCTTGTCCTAAACGGCTGCGACGAAAAATTTACCCACTGTCAAATATATCGGAATCCATTTTTTTGCAATCAGACGCGACGAGCTCACATTGTTATGAAAATCAGAGGAGCCGCGATTAGTTTCGTAGCGATTGCGCACAGAAGCCAAGTGAAACATGAATAGGACGCATTGAAAGTTTGATTCGACACACTGCTAAGCAGTTCCTAGCCACCTAGACACCAAGCTTGAAATTCGTAAGGAAAACATTTTTCGTCCAGATGGAGGTAATCTTGACAATTTCTTCAATACTCATTGATTCTTTCGACAAAGTAATAATCTTTGCCGTTTCTATTCCAGAACTCTCTCGTCTGATGAAAACATAGAAGGCGATGTTCGTTATTTTTTTTTCTATGAATTTTTTAATACGCTGCTGCCTTGCGGCTTAAGCAGCTACAGGCGGGGCTTTTTCTTACAACTAACTTGACAATCTTAGACCTAAGTTATTCTTAGTTGCACTTTGCATTACTAACTTACACCTAAAATCATTTCTCTAGTTCTATTTTATATATTCTACGTAATTATTTTATATAGTTGTGTAAATTGTTGTTTTTTTTTCTACATTCACACATCATTCATACAGTTTCCATTATATACATAACCATTCATTCTTCCCATTCATTTCGCAATTCACACTTCACTACACTGTTCGCCACGCCACTGACTTGACTCAAAGTGTCCGTGGCGCTCGGGCCCATTGGGAGGCGTGACAGGTTGGGCGCGGCGTCGCGGTTCCCCGCGCGTCCCTCGGCCGATGGCGAGTCTTCCCCCTCGCGCTCGACTGCCTCCGCTCGTTCGCACAAGGCAGCAAAGCGTGTCGTGAGGCAGCGCGCGGAAAGAGAAGGCGACGCGCTTGGACCTTTCCGGAGGTGGGACCGATGCGCGGCACTGTTCGTCTCCCGGCCGGTGTCACGCAGGATGCGCGGCGCCTTCGGACCCAGAGCCCTTTGAGCGCCGTCACTGACCGCCTTTGGAGCTCCGGCAAGAATTGGTTTTTTACACACGAACTTCCGAACACGTCAGTGTTCTAGGGTATCTATTGGGAAGGGCGAGGAGGGAGGTGGGGGTACGCCGCGAGACGCGCAGCGCGGTTTCGCCGCCGATGCGAATCGGCGGAGGGTGAAGGAGGTGCCGCCGCGAATACCTCGCAGGCATATACGTCCAAATGGACCGCACGCAGGCGTGTGATAGGCGGCGTTTGAGGGCAGAATGAAGTTCGGGGGCTCGAAGAAGTGGGCGTTAGGAGGGTGGTTCGGGCAGTTATTTTTGGCTAACCGTACTTGGCGTGGCGTGCCAGCGGAGGCCGCTGTCAAGCTTCACACCAAGATACTTCGCCGCCTTTTGCCACGGTATATGCGTGCCTAACAAGCTCACGACTTCATCGGGGTCGATGTTCGTTACAGTTTCTGCTAATGCTCTCCCAATTCATCTAAGCAATATTTCGCAACCTCAATAAAAAATAAGCACAATTTTTCGAGAAAAAAGTAATTTTGGCAGAATTTCTGCTTGAAGTTAATGCAACTTATTAAAAAAATATTTTCTCAAAAACTCCTCCATTTTCCCCCTCAAAATTATTCCACTAATACAATAAGGGTCGCTTAAAAGAATTCATTTCAGGTCTCATTTTTCTTGAATTCTGATTTTTTGAAAATTGCAAATTTAGAAATAATGCGAAAAAATATGTTGTTTTAGCATCACATTTTAAACATTATAGGCATCTCATAAGTGAATTTGTCTTATCAGGACGTATTATTATAATTAATATGAGATTTATTATGTGACAATAGATTTGATGTGCACACTGGAGAGGAGGTAAAACTTTTGAGATGGGGCAGGAAGATTTAACATCGTTATTATCTATATTTAAGTAAATATTATGTCTATATTTAAGTAAATGCTTATATCTTTTATCTTAGTAATAAAAATAATAAACGTTGATAATATTGTCCCCACAAGAAAAATTTCAACTGGTCATTTCAATTGAAAATTTTCAACTTGACATACAACCAAGACTCGCTATTGGAGAAACGCGATGCCGTTTTATAGGGATCTAGAGTTGTCAATTCTTCTATTGGTTGTAAATATATGCTCTTTGGTTGTAAAAGAAAGATTACAAATGGCTGCCATGGGTTCATCCTGCTTACGTCAGGTGAATGATGCTTAATGCTATGCCATGTGGTATATATTTTCCTCTGTACTCGTGTGAGTGTTCTTTACTCAGTGTTTTCGGTGATATACCATTGCATTTTCTCTACGGTTCATATTTTTTAAGAATTTCTTCGGTAACTTAAATATGTGGAGTGAATTCAAAGTAATTTTGGCGTTACGCCCGGATCTTCGTTTCAATTTCAGTTTTCTTTCGATTTCTGAAACTGCAGTTTCCGAAAATGTTGAATTCAATTGACATGGATTAAAAGTCGACTACGTTGGTTCTATGAATACTGCTCCATATAAGTTTGATGACTGTTGGTACCAGAGTATTATATTGTTGGTGCACCTGCTAGGAGGACATGATTGCTTCAGTTTGGATTCATCGTGTTGGGGTTCCACGTCTATTCGTACGACATGAGTGAGGTTGGTCGTGAATATTTAAACGGCCTATGTTAGTGAGAAATCAAAGAGAGTTAACTGTGACTGTGTTTTCACTGAGTTTTACAACCATTTACCGTTTTGGGTTGTAGGCAGCTGTGGGTTGACCAAGTCCTCATCTTCAAAGTAGTATCTCATCTTCGTTTCCAGGCAACGTGATTCTTGTTGAAGCGTTTATATGGAAGTGATGTCCTTTGGAAATTTGTATTTTCTTTTCCTGTAGTAGGGATATTTGCATTTTCTTTGCCCATTAATCTTGAAGTTAAACGGGATATTGTAGCAAGTGTAATCTACCATGGCACCTCGAAAGAAGAGGAAATCGGTCGGGCAGAGTTCATCTGTTGAACGTGCGACTTCCGGTGTTCAGAAACAAAACAAAAAGAAAAATGATGAGAAACCTAAACGTTCCAAGAATGACAGTATCATAGAAATTACTATGAATGAAACATTTGTTCCTTTATCAAGTGACGAGGAAAATATTTCTGAGAAAAATAAGGAAATGAAGCCACCCGAAGATGTGGACGTAATTGGTGATGGAAACATTTTGGGTGCAGATTTTATTCCTTTTTCTGCCAAACCCCTGCAGAATTATGTACCAAAAATTAATGATGAAGTTGTAGCCAATCAAACTATTGAAATCTGTGAAGTACCTGAAACTATCGTCGTTGATGATGATAATGATAAAGAAAGTATCTGTGTTGATGATAGTATTGCTAGTTCTGATGGTGAATGTGATTCTGTTAATGACAGTATTCAAATTGTGGCCGAAACACCAAAATCTTCTTGTGGAATACTTTTAGATGAAGTTGGTCAAAGTTCAATGAAAACAAAAGTTTCCCTTTCAATTCCCAAGAAAAGAAAAATTGATGACAGTATTGAAATTCTGGAAACAATAAATTCAGTTGGTGACCGTCCTGGAAAAAAGGTGAAGATTCACAAGAGTCAAGAAAATTCGTCTGCTTCATTATCTATTATTTCCAATAGTGATGATGAGGCACCTAGATGTCTTGACGAAGACGATGAGATTGTGATTGTGGAAACAATTGACAATAATAGTAGGGATAGTGTAAAAGTTATGAATGACTTCATACCATTTAAAATGTCATCAGCTCTAGATCGAGAGAAAACTAGAAGAAAAAAGAATTTTGTTAAGAGATCTCGTAATCGTTGGAATTTGGAACAGGATTATCGAAGTACTGGTGCTCCACATTCCGTAGTGATTCAAGACACTGTTGGTATTGTTCCTAGTAGTGCTCATTACAAATCCCCTCTTTCAAATAATGCAAATCAAGAAACAGATACAATTGATACTTATCATAATGTGTATGGTAATAATGTATATAACCCTAATAGTGTACAGAAAACTGGTTTACGACCTGTTATAATAGATGGCAGTAATGTGGCTTTTGGGTAAGTAAAATTTGGCATGTGTTTGACTAATAAGAACTATCAGCAGTGCTCGTCATCTGTGGGATGGCTATCATTTGTAAGTTGAAAAAGAGGAATAACTGGAAATTTTTACTTTAGTAAACAAATTTGTTTCAGTCATGGTGGAAAAAGTTTCTCAACTCGTGGCATAGAAATTTGTGTGAACTATTTTGTTAAACGTGGTCATTGGGTTGTGGCATTTGTGCCTCTCTTCCGGAGAAGTGAAGTCTCGGATGCTGACCGCAAAATATTAGACGAGTTGAAAAAAAACAATCAGCTTGCTTTTACCCCCAGTCGTTTTCTCCATGGTCGTCGTGTTGCATCATATGATGACAGGTAAAAGATCGATAAATGGAATGTTTTGTATGTTGAAAAATAATTTGACTTGGTTGTATTTTAAGATTGCTGTCGACAACATTATTTTGTCATTGAGCCTTCGCTTCGGGTAATTATAGTGAAAAATTGACATTTCCTTAAAATAACCCTAGTGATGAACAGTTTACTAAATGCCTTCTTACTTTCTCACTACTGTTTATGCAGTAGAAAGTTATGTAATGCTGGGCAAAAAAACGGCAATTTTTCGGCAGAAAAACTTCATTACAAGGCTCTGATAACAAATAAGGGGATTAATCCAGTTGCTAAATAATGGGGGGGGGGGTCCTCTAACCCACGGTATTGGCAGAATCTGTGTTTTGTAGGTCCTTGATACTGAAAGATTGAATCGCCACAAAACTGTTCGTCTTTCCCTCTGTGAACAATGCTAGTAGCTAAACCGTTGAGCCAATTTTGCCGAAAATTGGTATTCACCAATTGATATGGCTGATGTTGCGGGTCCTTGAATTTGAAACATATTATAATTTTGGGGGTACATTCCATTAAGCCTATGAGACATTTTCAAAAAGACTCCCATTTTGATTAAATTTTGTTGTTGGATAGTGTAAAGGATGATTAAGAGAATGGTGCAGGTGTCATGTTCATTGAAAACTGATTTTTCAAAAATTTAAAATTTTTTTGGCATATTCCTTCAACTGCGATTATAAAAATAGATTTTTTTCCCTTTATGATATTTTTCTTTAAGGATAGATTTTGAAATTAGGTCATGTACATTTTTTTGGGCTGAAGTGTAGTATACTGTACAACCTAACAAAGTCATTTAAACCAGCACTTCGTTCCACTCTGGTGAAGGGGAAATCCATGGTTGAGGGAATGAGGTGTGCTTAGGGGATTATGAGGATAATCTTTGAGTGGGGAGTGGTGAGCAATATGCATAACTTAGTACATCTATATAAATAGCAAATCATGGGCAATTAAAATACATTGTAAAAAAATATACTTCTGAAATGATTTTAATGGTTCATAATTGGTCACGAACGTGACATCAAAAGTTAGGAGTGGGGGAAATTTCACCCTATCATCGTGTTGATCCTTTATTACAAAATGGTGTGTGGTGGCACGTAAATCATGTTTTTGTCTTAAGTGATTTTCTGTCGGGGTACCTGTTGAGGTGGTTGGCTATGTTGCTGTCATACAGTTGTTTCTTGCATTCTTCAGATTCTTTGTGATTTGTGTTTTTGAGTGTCGAGTGTGTGCTACAATGGTGAGCATAAATGTGTTTTATTTTTGCACATTGCGCCAAAGTTGGTGTTTGGCTGTCATTAAATGGGTGCAAGAACGTAGTTTGATTGCTGCAGGATTTAAATGTGCTGTGTGTAAGTGTCCTATAATGTTGGCCAAATGAAAGAAGTTGTGTGATGGTTTTGAGTGGAAGTGTAGCTAGGAAGGGGCCATTGTTTGCAGGAAGCAAGTTGAGTATAATTCAGGTATTAATAATGACCTATTTTTGGGTTATAAAACAGTCAGACAAACTGCCATATAAATCGCCTATCGGTAAGTTTAATACGTTTTTGTCAGAGCGCTTAGCGTAATTTGAGGGAGGGCTAGAGGAGACTCCTCCTCCCCGTTCCCCTCCATCCCTTACCCTCATCCCCTTTCCCCCTCGCCACCATGCTTCTCTAAGAGTGTACCGGGTAACCTATTTAAACCTTTTTTTGAAAATTTGAGTACTTTTCGTGTAATTATGTATGAAAGTAGGGCGAGAAAGTATGTGCTGTTATATCACCTGGTTTTGCAATATAATGGGTGACTATCTCAGCACATTACAGATCTCTAGCCACACCTATTTGAGTTAACAATAATCCTCATGTAACAGATAAAGCATATCCTTGTGACCTGTAAGTTGTATTCCTTTCTCAAAAAGTTAAGCGCTAATGTTTACATTTCTTTTTTTGCATGCAGAGAAACCCTTAATTTCTGTGCATAACATTCTTAATGATTTTTCTTCAATAACATTTAAAAGGTTGAGCATAAAACTGAGAGAGAGAAAAATAATTTTTTTTTTATACAAGCTAAGAAAAACACAGATCCGACAGAATTGGAACCTTAAATTGTCTGCACACCTGCTTCATTTTAGGCTATGATACTCACCTTGGCCTGCTTGCTGGCCATCGGAATCATTTGCACTTAGTGGTCACATGTTAATGACCTCTCAAGTCTCTAACAGCATTTAGGGTCTTTAATATATTTTACGATTGTGTGAGACAATCAGTTTTATTATATTGTTGTTTGTCTCTTGATCTTTTTTAATACATCAAAATTTATTTTCTTCGGAAATTTTGTTGTGTGAAATCACACAACTTTTGTAAATTGTGTCTCGTTAATAATCCTTGGTTTACTTCTATTGAACCAATGGAAATAGAGACCAACAGTAACATGAAAATCAGAAGAGGTTTTCACACTAGATTTGTGATTTTCCTTGAATGATTTCATACAGTTTCAGGGCATTAACAGATCTGGCAATCCTGGAAAGTCAAGGAATTTGAAATACCTAGAAATTGTTCAAAATTATCAGTTTGAAATGTCTACTAATTCATTGGGACATGTTCTTCTCTACCATTTTGGATCTTGGCCTGAAAAAATTCTGAAATTCCTGGAGTGCAGATTTGTTGACACCTTGAGTTGAATAAATCTCTAAGTGCTTAATAATGAAGTAGATTTTTGTCTGCTTAGTATTTTCTGCTGTTCTCACCACACAGATCATCTGCAAATGAGAATTCTTCAATTGTTATTTGTGGGTGTTGTGTTCATATTGCCATGAAATTAATAGATAATATGTAGTCTGACTGTTTTTGATTTAACGACAATAAGTTCTTCAGTGCCATTTGTGATGTGAGGGGGAGGATTCTTTGACATTAAATCAAATTATGGTAAAACTACATCGTTTTAATTTCTTCACTACATTTGTTTCTAACATTCATACTTTACAACATCTTTTTTACAGTTCAGTGGAAGTCAAATGCCGGGAGTATATTTTTATTGTGCTAAATTATATTTTTTTTTAAATTAATAAATACTGTTTCCAATAATTTGTGCTTATTTAATTAATTTTAATTGTGTTATAAAGAGCTCAATTATTGCATGTATAGCTGGTGATGAAAAGCGAGATTGGCTGTCAAAAGGTAAGGTTTTCAAGATTATAGTCTGCTAAATTGTGTTCAACTGTAATATTGAAATGATTCCTTCAGGTTTATTGTTCAGTGTGCGGCAGAACTAGGTGGAATTGTAGTGTCCACTGACAATTATCGGGATCTTGTTTGTGAAAATGAGGCATGGAGGGAGACAATTGAGAAAAGGTAGGAATTTGAGTAACTTCATTAAAAGTTAAGAAGAGGAAATAAGACTAAGAATTCAGTTAGCACTTAACAAGGTGGAACTATGTAACAATGAAATATTCATATGATTCTATTAATCATAGGTGGGAGAATGGATTTTAATGACTGCATTTTTCACTCCTTTAGTTATGTTACAAAAGAGTTTTTGAAGATGATTAATTTGGATTAACTTTAATTCTTTAGAGTTATTCTAATTGATAATTTTGTAGCTCCAATGAAAAGCTGTCATAACTGCAAAATGTGCAATTTTCTAGTGATAGAATACAAATTATTTTTCAGTATGAAAGTGTTTTAGTTCAGGCCATAACTGAGGCCAGGTATTTGTACCCTATTGCTCTGTCACATTTGTTTTAGAACAAAGATGATAGATAGAGTGAGTATGAACTGTGAGCTTTAGGGGTAATAAATGAAGTGGTAAAGTGTCTTAAGTGAACATTTGAACAATAGGATAGGTGAAAAACCAATCAAGTGGCACATTGTCATTATTTATTTAGGTCTATATAAAATTGAAAAGTTCAGCATGCAAGGTTTGGCAGTTGATTCCTGTAATTTAAATTCTCAACTTTGTTGTGAGACCTGGAGGTATTTCCCTACAGCTGTGTAGCTTCACAACAGGTAGATCTCTGACAAATGTATTATCTTCACTTCATGATTGGATAAATGATTTAGATAATGGTAAACCAATAGACATCATATCTAATTGGACTTCCCTAATGCTTTCTTTATAAAGTCCTGCATGATAGGCTGGTTCGTGAATTTATGTATCTCATTACAAAAGTTATTGGTGCAATCCTTCATGGAGAATCGGCACTTCTGTGTGAGATTTGGCAATGGAGATCCTCAGGGCTCAGTATTGGTAGGAACTAATCCTATATATTTTGTATACTAGTAATTTATGAAATGAAGTGTAATCTCAAGTCAAGATGTATGCAAATAATACTAAATTCTATTGCCAACTCTTTTGTAAACCATCTCCAAGAGGACTTAAATCATGAATGCTCGAAAGACTGGAAGACCACCGCTGAACAAGTGAAAATGTTTGGTCATGCAGACTGGGAAATATAATCACAAACTAAACTATAGCATGTGTGAACAAATATAGCAGAATCCTTGATTATGAAAGATCAAGGAGTCATGATGCTGTTTTTCTTCTTTTTTTTTTCCCTTCTTTTTTCTCTTTCTTCCTTTTTTCCTCTCAAAAACTTGATGGATTTGTGTGAAGTGTGCTTGCATGAGCCGACCGTGATCCTTTGTGGGTGGGTGTGAATTTTTTCCGTCTACCAATTGTGACTGTTTCTGGCAAACAGTATTTGTATTACATAGTGTGTAATGATATCATCAGTTTTTCATTGCATGGTGGAGCACAAGTAACAAACTCTTTTTTGTTGAAGACATTAAACTATTAGAGATCATTCAAAGAATCGCAACAAGTGTACGAAAGGATCTCAAAAATATGACTTACGAACAATGACTGACCATCACTTGTTTCCAGGAGACACGATTTAAAGATGCATAATGTCACACGGGCATTACAACATGGACCCGAACATCTTTGTCGTTTACAAAATCCCCAGCTATAAGGTCTTGGTATAAATTTACAAAATCAAGATATAACCTTTTAACATTCCAGAATTTTCCGGATAACTGTGTTGATACCTTGATCAAGTTATCAGAGAATGGTCACAGCATGTAGCAATTATTCTTTCAAGCAAACATATGATCATCTCTCTGAGGAAGAGCAGAATGAAACCCACTAATCCACAGATTTAGCATTTTTATCACTCAAGGAAGTATTAATTACCTCAAAATGTGATTCCCTCTCTCATGGTAATATTTTCTTATCATAAAATTGTTATTCTCACTTTTGCTTATTTTGTATTTATAGATCTTCAGCAACCAAAAATTTATTGTCAGCTATTAATATGAAAATAATTATTGTGATTTTTCGTTACATGAAGAACTTATTAAAATGAATTAGTATATCAGTACTAAATTAGATTTATAATGTTACCTTTAAGTGCTTAAAAATAGATCTTCATGTTTTTGCAGCGGTAAGTCGATTCCTTCATGAAGGGCATGATGCAAGATAATGGCCAAAATCTAAAACTTTTTGCCTCTGCGAATAGTTTTTATTACTAGCTCTATTATTTTTTCTTATCAATTCTTACCAAAAATGCTTGTTTTCACTTATATTCATAATACAACTTGTAGGTGACTTATGGTAGAGAGGGGATTCCAAAACTCAATAAAACTCGAATTGAATACACTTCTTTCCATTGAATGTGACACAATTTTCAACTGTTTTTTGGCATTAAATAAATTTACCTCAATGTCAGGATGGCCACTTTCTGAAAAAGGCAGAGAAAAGTCAGGGTATTTGTAGCAATCAGGTTGGAAGTCGGGGAAAATTTTGAGACTGTATTATAACCAGATATTGTTCCTTAAAAAAATTGCCCAGCAAAAAATAATGACTTTTTATTTGTAGAGAATTTTTTAAAATTCGTTTTTCATATAGTTGAAATCGAAGAGTTTTATATATCAACAACATGCCCTTACAATGGAAGCGCAATTCTAGTTGCTGACGACATGTATGTTCTTTGGAAAAAAAAGAAACAATAAATATTATGAATCCAGAAGTTCAAATTTTTTTCTTAAATAAAGAAATTCAAGTAATAAAGGAAAAACTGTTGTAATACATTTTTGCGTTTCGAACCAGCATTTGCAGGCACCAGTGAAAACAAATATGCAATTGCTTGATGAAAAGGTTAACAAAATGTCTGTCTCTTGATTCAGTCAAACATGGAATGGAATATGCATATACCTGAATTAAACACATGCATTTAGAATTTATTCAATTCTGTCAGCCTTCATGTGATGTGTGTTTTTTTTTAAATGCGCAATCCGACCTAAGATGTGGCATGATATACAGGAGAACTTCATCCTATAGTACCCAGAGTTTCAATTTTGCAGAAAAATGATACAAATAATAAGCTAATGGCATCCATTTGATTCTTGCAAACCTCTTGTCATTGAGCTTGGATTATTACCATTGTCTTGCTTATTTAACAATGGGTGCATATTTTCATGCCATTCTGATATTTATTATTACAACGCATGTAGAAATAACCTCCATTAGGCGATGGTAACAACAGTTTACAAGAACACCACCTTGCCAGATATTAAACAATTAAAATCTATATAAAAGTTTATGTTCAAAGTGAAAAATATTTATTTTAACAATGACATATAAAGCATTACTTTACATTTATATTGTATAGTTTTAAAAATACTTAATATACCTATAAAAAGTATGCAATGTACTTCTGGGTTAATGACTCCCCTCTCCTCCTTTTTCCATCTCAGTCAGGTTTTTATTCACTTTCCCCAAGTCATTGAACAAATGCACAGATGACCTCTTGTTTTGCTTCTGGACATAAATGTATTTTCACAATATGCATGGTTTGATGAAATCTTCTTTTGCTAGTGTTTATAAGAGTAGAGCTGGTAGTACTATTTTCTTAGTGATATTAAATATTCAAATGTGTAGTTTATTTACTGATGCAAATATGTTTTCCATAATTTAGGAGTGGAAATGTCTAGTGTTCAAATGTTGCTAACCTTGTGTTGTTGGTTTAACATTCCAAAGTTTATGGTTCAGGTGGGGAAGAGTTTCCGAAGCTCAACCAAATGTGTGTAGATTGTACATCTTCCCCCTTCAGTTTTTTCTGTTCGTGTGACAAAATCAATGAAAAGTTAATCTGAGAGATTTCACAGATTTGCATGATGTTAAAGAACATCAAGCTTTGAAAACACGTTAGAGTTGAAGTCTAGATCCATTCGTAATATAGTTTCTATTGTTCTCTACCACATGGGCTGGTGTTTACAGGCCTGTCTTGTGAACATCAGTGCAAAAGGTATGCAGCCCAAATTATAGGTGAAAGTGATATTGGTTTGAAACATCTATCATTTAATGTGTGCAAATCAATTCCTGTTTCAAAGTAAATTCCATACTGGAAAAATTGATGATCATAATCATTAATTGAAGAGATGTTACATGTTGACTCATTTCTGATTTTCATTGTGCCCTTCTTGTTCCTAGAAGTGTTCAAAGACTGATGTGTATTGAGGGTGACAGTGCAATAGTGGCCTATCCCACATTTTTAGGAAATTACGTTCTGTGTTAATCACATCTTAATCACCCTAACTTCAATGTGTAACAGTTTCAGCATGTTCGCATTGATAGTTTTCAAGTTATAATTACAAAAAGAACTATTGCACTCAGCTTACAATTACATTTCTTTGTGCAATAGTGGCCTAAGCATAGGAGATGCATTTTTACACAAGATGTAATCCACCACAAATGTTTAGTCAGTGGTCATTCTTACATAATATCATAATATGAAAACACTTACAAATGAATGTTTAATTTTGCCAATAACTTCATCCGCCATTTTCTCCAAACACAGGATCTGGGGATAGGCCACTATTGCGCTGACACCCTCATATGTGAGAAATCATCTGGTCCCCTGTGACCATGTTCTTTAAAAGTTGGTCACATTCATTATGATAATGGTCCAACAAATATGCAAAAGAGCTCGAGCAATTTTTTTCATTTGGTATTCTTCAGTAAGCAGCCTCGTGACCCAACATGTGAACAATTTGTGGTATTCCAAATTTTCAGAGACCATTATGTGCACAGTTGTTCCAGTCACATTTGGAAATTCCATTGCTAAAATGAAATGTGAATCGCTATCTTCATGAATCTGTTCATCCACAGCATTGACCAAACTGTCTGTAATCACTGATGGTGGGATGGTGGGCCTGATTAATTGTAATCGCGAACATTATCTCATCTATCCTTGGAAGCTCTTGCCCACTTACGAATTTTGCTGTCACTCGTTATAGAAATTCCAAAAACTCCACTTATCTGTCTATGAATTTTTACTGCTGAAACATTCCTTGCTATCTAAAAACCAAATCTCTGAAGGTATTTTACAGTCTGTCAGATGATCAGTTCTTTTAAACATTTTGAACTGATACTGTAAACAGCACCTGCAAAAATTCCCAAGGTAATGGTGTTGTTTGACTCCCAAGTTATGCCGAGAGTTGGTGTGCATGCACATTCAATTAGCCTAGGCGATTCATATCTCGATTTCCGAATAACCCTTCTAGTATTTCCTCCATTGTTACAAATATATGTAGATAAAAAAAAACAAACACATGCATACTTTAAGTACAAACTGTTGATGGGCCAAAATCTTACAGAGCATTCTCATGACAATTTGGAGAAAAATTCAAAATTTTGCCAGCTGTGTAAACAGCTTAAAAAGGTAATTTTCACTTTCGAGTTAGTACATCAACTTCAAACCTACTGCATCATATTATCTAGTGGTTTTATTTAGTGGAACACTACCAAAAAAAATGTGTAACTTCTTGGCTTCTCTTCTCTTTTCTATTGTGTTGATTGTTAATATTTCTCTTTCTTGGAAGTTTTGTTACATTCTACGTAGAAATTTACAATATTTTTTTTTAATTCCAAATTGGTTATCCTTAATCTTGTATTCCACGGGAATCCCTATTTTTATTATTGTTATGCCAAGAGAAATCCTGCATTTTCTATCAATGCCTTGTACCACTAGTATACTGGTAAGGCTACAATCCCAAAGCGAAGTTCACATTAAAAAAATAAACATTGTATTCACCAAAAATAAAGTTGATCCAAGTACAATCCATGGGATTTCCTGTGTTAAAAGTTCCACCATGTGAAGTGCTATTAAATAACTTGAGGAAACAAATGTGTCCATAGTTTAAAAAAATGTTTATAAATATTTTTATCTATCCAACCGTAATTTTGTATTGTATATAAAGGGTACATTTTACCCTATCTGACTGTATTAACAATCAATTACTTTAAAAATGATAAATCAATTGTATATTCATAGGTACTCAAATTTATTATTTTTTAATTCATTTACAGACTTCTCATGTTTACTTGGGTTGGTGACCTTCTGATGTTCCCTGATGATCCAAATGGCAGGGGTGGACCTAGACTAGAGGAATTTCTCAGGTTTCCCCGATGATTCACTGGCTAAAATTCTAATGAGAGTGTCAAGTCCAAAGTATACTGAATTGTAAAATCTGTTTTCAAGAAAAATCTTTTTTATGAGTATAGCTTTTGTATATAAATGTATTTTTGTGAAGTGTTGATAAATACATAAGTATATTTACAAGAATGAAGGTTAGTTAACAAATGTACAAAATTGTTTTTATTTATTTTGTACTTCTTGTTCTGTTTTAAATTACACATTCTGTTGTTTCATTGTGGCTATGTTGATATTAAATAATGTTGCATATCAAGTGTTACAAGATACTGTTTGTAGAAGGGGATTCATTTTCCTTACAAATTTGGACAGTTATTATATGCAAGACATGTTATTTGTAAATAGTTTGTGTATTTTATGAAAAAGTATTTGAAAAATATTTCTTTTTCTGCATTTTGTTGTGACTGCATAAATTCTTGCAGTGTCAAAAGTACAAATAGTACTTGTTCATTTAACTCCAAAATTCCAGTAGTGTAGATAATAAAATTTATTTTTAGTCTTTGAGGTACTAGCTCAAAGCTTCTAATTTTTACACCAAACAACAAAATTGCTGTATTATATTTCAGTATATAATTTTGGTTTTATAATTGTAATTGAATTTTCCATTGTATCATGTGCATAAATGCATCAAGTTTTCTCATATTATGGTAAAATTGTTCAAAATGCATGTTCTTTTGTCTTTGATGACATTAAATGTTCATCATTTTTCTGGATTTGTGTATTGTAAATATCAAAACCTTGCACCCTTTGTTTTTTCTATTAATGTTGTGTTGATAAGAATTATCCAGTGAACTGAGACAAAACAAAACATTAGATATGCACACACTAACTATGGTAGAGGAGGTGGGGTCAAAAAAAATTTTAACTTTTGCAATTTTTGAAAATTCAGAAATTAAGGAAATTTGGGCCTACACCATTTTTATAGGTATATATTTCTTAAGGGAATAGAAATGTGACCAATTTTTGTGAAAATTATATCATGGAAAATATCCCTAAAAATTAAAATATCCATTTCAAATTCAAGGTTCTGCTACAGCCTTCTTTCTCAACTTTCACAACTTTCTCTGAAATATTTTGATGTATTTGATCCACTTATAGTTTAACATCTAGTGGTAGATATATAAGAAGTACTACAGTGTACGTAATATGAATATAATTACATGAAGCCACATCAACATAAGGGAAAAATACATTACAACACAAGGCATGCAACACAAATAAATAAAATATATACTTGCATAACTATATTTTGTTCTAAATGAATTTTCCCTTTCACAGGCAGGTAATTTGTTTCAGTCATTGTTTGATTTACAAAGAAGAATTTCTCCCTTTCAAATCACTGTTGACGTGTATGAATTTTGAAATTATGATCACCTCTGCTTAAATACATCAGTTACAGTAGCCATCTTCAAATTTCCTACATAAGCCTTATATAAACGAGTAATCCTAGCCACCTTTCTGCGATTCATTATTTCATTTTGAGTGAGTTGATTACCAGAGAATGCAGCGGCACTTTTCTGAATTTTTTTGTGCTTGAGAATTTGGCTTGGTCAGAAGAGATCCCAGCATGCAGCCACCATGTTGTAAAATAGGGTGCAAAGGGGAAGTCTATGCCAGTGTTTCAACATTACTATTGCCCTTCTTCAAATTTTTCATTACAAAATGTAGGGCTCTGCACAATTTTTTTACGGTGTGATGCATCTGATTTACCCAGCCCAAGTCACTGCGTAGAATGATACTTGTTGGTAGTGACAATAGGAATTGAACAACTATTTAATTTGTAAATTACAAATGTACTTCTCCAAGGCCTAGAAGAAAATAATTTTTTGATTTCTCTGGGTCCTTTTTCATATTATTTATCCATTCCCATATTTGTAAGCGTTCTAGATCCTTTTACAAGGTTTTGACATCTTTCATGACCTTAACATTCCTGTAGATTAAACCATTATCTTTAAAAAGATAAATAGTAGATTCAAAGCTCTCATGTATGTCATTTACATAAGCCAGAAACAAGAGGCCTTAGCTCACGTCCCTATGGGACACTTGACGTTACCACTGATATAGATTAGTTTTTGCCATTAATTTTCACTCTTGAGAGCACCCATTAAGGAACCCCTATATCCAAGAAAGAATTGTGATCCATGAATGTTGCAGCAAGTTATGTGAAAACTACGAAGTGGAACTAAATTGAAGGCTTTGGAGCAATCTAAAATTATAGAATGTATTTGTTCACCAGCATCTAAACTACCTGCAATGCCCTGACTCACAGTAGTGCCTTGAATACCCCAAGCAAAAAAATTCACAAAAATAACATGGACAAAACCCATGTTGTCCTTTAAAAAGCCATCCCAACTTATTCAAGAGATATCGTAAGTACCATTAAGTGTTCCATATGTTTATTTATAACAAAAACATACCCAAAAATGAACTTTGTTATATTAAATAATGCAAATAGCTCTATCCATTCGAAAAGTGTGAAGAAAATGTTTGGAGCATTTTTTGAGAAAATGGCATTTGAGCGTTTCTGAAAATTCAGAATTTTGTGCTAGTTTTCAAAGATAATTATCGAGTTGTTTTCGAGAAACATGAGACGTTATTTAAAGCACATGTATTCATCAACATTAACGACATGAGAGGTAAGAAAAAAATCCTTTTTTGTAATATTTGGGAGGTGAGGGGATTAGAGCTATATGGCGTTTATATAGTTCGTTTAGCACTATCCCTAACAAAAGAAAAAAATTGGAGCAGTTTTTGGGAAAATCTTGTTTTTATGTGTGCACGTGCATGCGCGTGTGTGTGTTTGTAGACACACACATACATACATACAAAAAAAAACTAAGTGTTTCATATCTGAGAGACTCGTGTGGGTATGTATACACACGTGCGCACACACACTAACGAACGAGCTTTTTATGGCTGGTGCCATCTCTCTCATCCCATCATCCAGATCTTGAAAGTGGTTGACCCAATTTGTGTCCTACAGATCTCTAGCCTTCATTGCTTCGTTTACTCCATCCTGCCATGATCTTGGTGGTCTTCTGTTTTCTGCATTCTGGCTCCATTAATTGTTTCATTTCAATTGTCTATGATATTATTTTCAACCTCCACTATCTTACCAATGATATAGTTTCAAAAGTGTTCCATCCTGGAAATGCAACAAATCTTTCCCCAAAAACCTATTTCAAGAGCTAACAGTCTCTTTGTCTCTTTTATTTAGCTCTCATGTTTCAGAGCAGTATGTACATATTCTCTCAACCAGGCTTCTATACATTGTTCTTTTGGTTTTCTTTGTAATTTTGTCTTTCCATAGCACACAAATAAATATAATGCTCTTTTCATCACTAATTTTATTTACAATGTCATCTGTGCTTTTACCAGTCTCAGATAGTGTCATTCCCAGATATTTAAATGTTTGCAAAGGTGCACTGTCAAAGGTTCCTAAATCTAAGTAATCTACATCTTGCCTGTTCCCGGATATTCTATTTTATTAGTATTAATTTCCATTCCCCCATTTTTCATTTCTTCTTGAAGATATCTAGCCATGCTTAACTGGAGTCCTCTTCATCAGCAGCTATAGCTTGGTCATCGGCAAATATATAGCTGGGTATACAAGGTTTCATTTTCAATTGGTATACCCTTTCTGCATTTATATTTCCATTGCTCTAGAACCTCTTCAAGATAGATCTTGAATAATAGTGGGGCTTTTGAGCACCCTTGTCTTAAGCCCTTTGTAACCCAGAATCTGTGTGATACCCATTTTTACCACACTCTTGCATCCCGTATACATTATTGTGGACAGCATTAATATAGTTACTTACATCTTGTTTATTCATGGCCAGCCACAACTTGCTTAATGGCATTGTGTCGTAAGCCTTCTGTAAGTCGATGAAAGTTAAATGAACTGTTCCTTAAGGTAAATATACCATAAATGCACGATCTTCCAGCTCTGAATCCATGTTGCTCTTCTAATACTTGCACTTGCCTTTCAATTCTTTCCTTTAGTACTCTACCATATTTGGCTACTGAGCAGATAACACTTATGTCCCTATAGTTCTGACAGTCCAGTCTATTTCCCTTTTTATAGACATTATGGTTGTCAATTTCCATCCTTCAGGAACTTTATCACCCCCCCATGCATTTGTTAAATAATTAAGTAATTCAATCAGTATCCATGGAACATTCTTTGATAATTTCTACATTGTTTCCCATACCTGGTGCTTTACCGTTTTTCATAAGTGCCTGTTGTACTTCTTTTCCCGCGATTTTTTTCAGTATTTTCATCATTTTTCTGGCTCAGCGAGTTGCCTGTTTGTTCAATAAATTCTGGTCTGTCTTCTGTTAATAAATTTTTATTATGTTTTCATTCATATCTATGAGACTAAGACACAGTGTCTTTATTAATCTTCATTTCTTGAAGCATTTTCCAAACTTTGTTAGCTCACATGTTTTCAATACAATTATTAATTTCTTGGCAGTTATTTTGCCACATATATATAGAGAGGCAGGAAAGAATATTTAAGGAGTGCTATATCAGTATGTGTAAGGAATGTCAACCCGAAGTATGGACCAGAGATGAAGCCAGTGCTTGACTCCAGGGGTGTCAATTTGCGAGGATTGAGACTACGTAAAATGGGTGCATGAAACAGGATAATAAGGATGGACATGGCTTACCCCGGTCTTAAGGAAGTAGGGCAACTCCATGAGCTCGCTACGGGCAGGGTCACTAATCCCTGAAGGCAGATCAGTTCCTCACTGGGATTGTGATGAGTGACTGCCCGCTACCCGCATTTTGTTTAAGTAATTTTTTTAAATTGCAAATATTGCGCAAAAATTACTAAAAGTTTTTAAAAAATGTAAATGATCTTAATGAAAGAACTAATTATGGACAACAAATTTTATATGAGGGAAATAAGCATTGACTGGTCAATATCCATTTTGGAAAAAATCGTATTTATGGATTAGGCACTAGTGGTGTTGACACACGGATGGACATTTTTGGGGGGAAGAAAAAAGAGAGAAAAGAGAAGAAAACATTTTCACACTATTAGGGGACCCTAAAACGTGTATTTCCATTGAAATCTCGAAATCTATCTTCCTGCAGCTTTACATAAATTTCCCTATACTACATATATTACTCTGTATATATGTATGTGTACGGGGGGAAAAAATAACACTTTTTAGGAATTGAAAAGGATTGGATAATGTTTCCAAAATATGCAATTATTATTTTGTATGTCTTCCTTTTCCTTTAATCACTTCACTTTGCATTCTTGGCAGACACTCAAAAGTTTGTTTTGCTGTTTATGCAATTGCCAAAAGTTGTGCATGAACTTCTCCAAATTTTTTTAGAACATTTACACACCCAAATTGTCCATATTTTGATATATGAAGAAAAGTTTCCTTATCCCTTTTGGTTTTGAAGACTTGCAGCCCCAAACCATAACTACCTATGAGTTTCACAGTTGCTTGCAAATTACTTTCCTGTTCTGCTGATTGGTTTAAGCTATTATTATATCATCTAAACCAAACCATAAATGTTAAATTTATTCTCATCACTAAAATTTACTCTATTCCACCTCGTTTCATCCATTTCAAAATGTTTTTTAGCAACTTAAGTCTTAGGTTATTCCTTCTGCTTCCTTTGCTTATAAATTTTCCCACCATGGGTCTGTTTTCCTTAGCACTCAATTGGTTGTGAGAGCTCTTAACCAGGATCTTTTCTTCACCTCTCTAGGGATGATCCGATCTGATGCCAGGGAGCTTACAAATTTTAAATTTCATTTTTTAGAGCTCATGATAGTCTCCAATATTAAAAATCTGAATTGTGGATACAAATAACTTTACAAATATTCCTGAGTTAACAAAGAAATGGGAAGAACATTCAAATGTAGAAACATTAATGGATGGAATTTAGAATATTTTGAAAAAAAGCATGGCAGGATCTTTCAAATAAATCTATTCAAATATAGTAAAATGGTGGTATTCTATTGTTATGGTTTCAGAATGAGGAATTTAAAAGAAAAAAAGTGTTGAAATAATCTGAAAGGGAATTAATTTCCATTTGTAGCCTCAAAATCAAGTCAATTACAGAATTTGTCAGAAGAATGTAAAAAGCATAAAAACAATAGAATCCTGAGAATGGTTGCTTTACGAATCCTGAAAAAAATAATTAAAGCTTGAGCAAAAGAGATTGATAAGTTTCAGACAAAAATAAGAAGCTGGAATCCCTGAAGATGAGAAGAAGAATGGGTTGGAACTCCTATAAATGCCACAAGCGATAAGAAGCATATCGATGGCAAAATTTTAACAACCCTTTTCAGGAGAGAAAAAACAAAATTTCAAATTTCCACTTCAATCTATTGAAAATTACCAACTTTTCATTTCAACAAATTTCCATGGCACGTGTCAGTAGAAGATATTTTCAGGTTTTATTCTCTCAAAACAGCCAAATTTTGAGATACATGTTAAAATGTAATCATAGATGTAGGAAGGAATTATTGGTGTCTTGATGGGAGGTTAAGCTAGGAAAGGGACTAGGGTCAAAGATGTTTGGAATAAATTATCTGGCAAGGACCTACAATGAAAACAAAGTGAGAAAAACTGAAAGGTCTGAAAATGCTTTTCATTTATTGATTCAAAATCTGCATTACAAAAATTGAACTCTCTAAATGTTTAATTTTCATATTTTGGGCTATAAGACATTCTTAATAGTCCCCACAACTGCGATTGCTTCAATTTCCACTTTTGCATCCTGTAAAAGCATGTGTTGAATGAAAATATTATAATATGCCAAGCACAATGCTTAAAAAGTTGAATTACAAATGATTAAGTTGATGAATTTACTATTTAAATGTTATTTGTTAAAAAATGGCATTGTTTACTTTATTCAAATCCAAAACATCATTGAAAAGTATATTTTAATTAACTTTGTTGTATTTTAAAAATTACTTGGAATTTTACAAATCTATAATTGGCCATTAAAAATCTGTATTCCATTTTATTTGTCATCTTACCAAGGGTAACTTTCCTACTTGAAATGCTGAACGTGCAGGAAAGGGCTCCTTGAAAACTGCAAAACAAAAAGGAATATGGATGAATTATGAAATTATATTTGAAAAAATTGTATTTGGTAAACTGATAATTATAGTTTCATATTACTTACATTTTTTATACACTTCATTTACTGCAGCAAAATCAGCAATATCAGCCAAAAAAATTGTAGTCTTGACCACTAGAAAATATGTTGATGTTAAATGTTTGTGTTCTTAAAATCAGAAAAATTAAATTAATTTTACATAAACAATTTTAAAGTATATCAAAGGGTATCCCAGACTTTAAAACCTACAATAAAAAAAATTTAGAATGATTTTAAGAGATTATATATTGAATTACCATGTCTTTACCTCAATATTACTAATGACAGATTCTGTGATGATAATAAGAAACCACAATTTCAAAATATTTAAAGATAGTGCTTTTTAATTTAAAGCAATTTATTTTATTCTCTCACCATTTTGAAATGATGTTGATGCAGCTTCTAAAATGTGGCCCATATTTGTTAATGCTTTCTCTGCTTCTGCAGCTGTATCACCATTAATCAACTTATTGGTATCTTTGTCGAGCCCCAGTACGCCTGACAAATACAAAGTGTGTCCCACTTGAACAGCCTGACTGGAAATATGAAAAAAGCTTCAATATATAATATAACTTCAATAACAACTAAAGCAGCAGAACTAATGAGAATAAAGCTTGTTCCAAAGAAGAATTTTTCAAAGATCTATAAATTATGATATTTTATAAGAATTTCTAGAAAATGAGTGTTATAATAATCCATAAGCCTCTTAGCAACAAATATCAGTTTCAGAATGTAAAGGAAAGTTTTTTTAAAGAATGGGATACTGGAATATAAGGAAATGAAGATGTACGATTAAGGATATAAAGGAAAAGTTCACCAAAACACATGGCATTCAGCTGGAATAATTTGTTTTTATTTTTCCTGCTAATCTTGATTAAAATTCAAATGCAAAGGACATTAGTTATGAAACTTTTTACTTTCCTGTATACACGAGCAATATACGTAGTAAATGGAAAGTTGCGTAATGCTGCGGAAAGTAGATTTCGAGATTTCAACGGAAATAAACGTTCGGGGTCCCCTGATACCGAAAAAGTGCGGATTTTTTTTCTCCCCCCCCCCCAAAAAAAAAGAAACGTCCGTGTGTGAACTACTAGCGCCTAATCTATATGTATGATTTTTTCCAAATTGGATATTTCCTGGTCAATTTGGCTCCACTGGAGACGAATTTGAATATTTTTCATGAATGCCCCCGGTCATTTTCAAAACTTTTTCAAAGATAGCTCCAATTTTTTCTACAATTTCTAGTAAAAATAGAGTATAATACATAAGGTGGCGTAAAAACGATTTGCGCGGGAAACTGAATTTTCAAAAGTTTGAAATTTTCGGGCATCTTCCTCCAACTACAAAAGAGAAGATAGATATTTTTCCTTCAAATAAAATTTGTTCTCCGTAGCGAGTTCTTTCTTTAAAGAAAAGTTGTCCAATATATATATATATATATATTGGACAACTTTTCTTGAACGATGGATTGACTATTTCGGGTGGAGTGGGGGTATTAGTTACAAAGTCAGTCACTAGAGCATTTTAAGTAATGCCAACGTCTGTAAAATGAAAGTCAAAACTGCATCTTGTGCTTAACTTTTTCGGGAGTTTTAGGTGACTCCCTTGAAGGACCTGGACCTGACTCAGCTATTTCTTTCGATATTGACAATAAATCTGAACAGGGGTTCTGCACTATGAAAGCAACTGGCTTTGACTAGCTTGTTTCGCGCCAACGATGTTTTAATGCTTGGAAGGTTGTCATCAGTGCCCGCTGTGAGTTTTTACCTTCAACTGTTTATTGCACAAGGGAGGGGGATCAAGGTCATCGTTCAAGAAAAGTTGCCCGAGTAATATATATATATATACACACACATACTTGAATATATGCTTCAAATATCGAATTTACAGTCGGCCTTAAATGCCATTTTATTTAAAAAAAAAAAAAAAACCAAATTTTTCAAAGAGAATTGCCATTTAAGACAATATATTTCTGTTCTTTGATTATTTTACGAATATTTCCACTCTTCTATTAGGAAAACGAGGTTAAGGGTTTTAATTAAGGGTTTTTTTTGTTTTTTATTGGGATTTGGTAGATGGCGGTTGATAAGTCCGAATAGCTAACCGAGACCAAAGGAAGCAGAAGACTATTACAGGAAAGTGTACCATTCTGTAGCTGCACTATTTTGTTTTACTAAAACTCTCTGATTCAGCAGATGCATCTATTTGTTGATACTTTCATAGCTTATTTTAAACATTAAGTACTAATATATGTGATATATAAGGTAGAATTTAAAAACATTGTCTCAAATTGTGTGAAGTTAAACACGTTGTAATATGTAATTATTATTTTTACTTCAATTTGTACTTTTATTCTAGTGTCAAAAACTCTACTTTATTGAAAGAAAACACGTTACGCGTTTGTAGCCGAAAATCAGACGAAGTTTTCTCCTAAATATTTTAACCGAAAAATACCAATCATTTAATATTCGCTGGTTTAACCTAGTCGGTTAGGATTTGTTTCTACATGGTCTTTTCATTACATAAGTGATAACATTCGCGAACATATTCTCTCCATAAAACGCGAATTTGCGGGGCAGATCAAACCTACATTTTTTAATGAAAAGAGGATCCAGGATTGACGTCGTATTAAGTGAAACGCAATGTTTCAATGTATATTTTTTATAAAAATGAATTTAAATCGTTGCCAAGATTTTGTTATTCAGGATGCGCTACTGAACGTGGCCACGCAGACTCTGTTATTAATAGTCGCCCGGCGAATGCGAATCTGCGTTTTGCTAGAGATGGAAATCAGAAATTGCACATAGTTCGTAGAACGCAGTCTATGTACAGTACATCCCAAGACAAAAAGGGATCATGAAGTATTTTTTTAGCAAAAACTTCCCAAACTAGGAAACTTGCTGCTATCTCACGTTAACTGTGAAACTGAGGAATAGAGATACACGAGTTTGCAGTTCGCAACTCGTTCACACGAACAATAAACGATGCGAATTTCAAGTATTTTATGTCTCTGTTAAAGTATGTGAAAGAACTATTAAAGAATCAGAGGCAATTTACAAGAGCGGGACAGGAAAAACATTGACGAAAGAAGGGAATATTTTTATTAGGTGGTGTCAGATGAGAGACCAAGAATGCAAATTCAATGCGCTAAACTTTCAGAGAGGCTCAAAAGACAAAACAAAGCAGTTTGGAGGAGGTACAAAATGAACGAAAAAGTGATGCTTGTAAAGATGAAGAGGGTAGTGACAAATATCCTTATTAAAATGATTTTTAAGGAAGAAGAAAATGGTGATAGCTCATGCAAGAAGTTTTAATATTCTCATCAAGAAGACAATTTTCTATTCAATTAGACATTTTCCAATTTTATTTTGATTAAATAGTAAGAATTGGTTAAAAATTTAAAAATTCTGAGGAGGCCTCTTCAAGGGGGTTATCAGAATAGACTTATATTTGGCTAAATATGGTATTAAGTCAAATTAATCTCCCAAGGGTAAACTTCATTTATTTTAAAATAATATATTAATGTCAACTATACACTCAAACCAAAAATGTATTCATTTACGCTTTTAAGTCAAATTTATTTTGATGAAACAACAGGAGAAAAGATAAAAATTGTTCCATATGAGTGCCAAGAGTTTCAGACTTCAATTCATTTAATTGACCCCTTCTTCCATTTAACAATATTGGATCTATCAGCAGCCATTGCTTCAAAAGGAAAGCTGTTCACAAAAATTCTAATAATCCGTTCTTAACTACTATATACAGTCTGACAACTTTTGCATGATGATAGTGCTGGCGCTAGACATGGCCAGACCGGGCTATGGCCTGGGGCCCTGCGAGTCAAGGGGCCTGATGGGGAAAAAATTTGTAAAAAATTGAAAAATAAATTAGAACTCGAGAAAATTGTTATCGCAATTTTATACGTTGTGGTACAGTGGTCTGATAATTCATAAAATTTTCAATTTTTTACCTAAAATAGTTATATTCATTACTTATAAGACAAGACTCTAAGAAATGAATCAAATAACCCTAACATTAAAATAAGTTCTACTGAAATTCATATTTCCTATTTCATGTATTAAACGCTTCACACAAATATTTTTAGCACTTGTGGAAATTGTTTTATTTGATAACTAATATGATTACTTAAAACTATTATTTAAAATTGATTCCCAAAACCTTTTTCTTGCTTAAAAGTGTAATTTTTATTATTTATTGAAATAAAATAACTTGGAGAGTTTGTTGATGCAGCTTTCACATTTTTAATTTTTTTTCAAGGGCTACGTTTCAACATTGCTCTGGGCCCAAAATTGTCTAGCTGTGGCACTGATGATTGTCATTTAAAAATTAAAATTCATTTGAATTTTAACAAAGTGAATAAAACATATAGCATTTGTATTGTTACATCTTAATTTAACACTTATATGGCTAACAAAATCAGCCTGATAGCTTTATTGGATAATTTTAAAATCTTGTTTTGTCAAAAAATGTCATAATACACATTATAATAAAGCATCTTATATCATAAGCAATTATAAGATGTTGATTTTTTAAATAAAAGAAACATTAAAAAATATTGTGAAATAAAGTATGAACTCCTTAACAAGAAGAAGCTATTTTAAGAAAAGTTTGTTAAGTAATGTTTTGTATTCGGTATAAGAGTCATTTGTAAGACACAAAATGGAATGTGAACCATTTTGTTGAACTAACATAACAAATATTCAGAAATGTTATTAAGTTTGATTGGGATATGTAGATCAATTATGCTTTGTGGAGATATTTTTATTACATATATGATTAAAATTATGAGAAGAGATTGACAAAGTGAATAAAATGTAACAAAGTAACATTATATTTGTATAAAGTTATAATTTTACTCACATAGTAAAATACACCACATGCAAGTAAAGACTTAAAAAGGGATCCAGAAACGTAGTTGGTCCCCCTCCCATTTTGGGCTGCACATGCCTTAATATTTTTGTATGGAAATAGTGAAATGACTCCCCTGAGTTTACAGATCATATGATTCTGTTTTGGCTACCCTTGACCTAGTAAATGCCTTTAGAAATAATGCTTTTTATTAGAACAATAGTTCATGCAGAAACTTATTGTAAGATAATACTACATTTAACAATTGTACTGACTCTTCTACAGAGGAATGACTTGCCAAAACGAATTACTTAAAATTTTAGCATACAGTTTGCTTCACCACTCTCATAAACAAAGTGTTGTATTTTACACTTTTTAAATTTTATTTTTGGCCTTCACCGAATAAAAAAAAATGTTAAAAAAATTGAATGACATAAAAAGTAAATATTCAATGTTTTCCATTGTTTCTGCAACATGTCATTTTTAAAATTTGAATAGAGAAATACTCATGTGAGTCAAAAAATCTAGAATAAATACAATAAATATTATAAAGCGCTCAGCAATGTACTATATACTTACTGGTAAGGTGCGACGGGCTGCGGTGCATTAGGAGTGCTAATAATTTTTCGCTCCAGCGTGCACATTTTGAGAGCTGAATCTTCCACGTTGACACTCCTTTTCGTAGATTTGTTCTTCGAAATTTCTGAGATAGCCTTGCACTTTGAACTGTTACTTAAGTTTTGATAAACATGGGTTGCTGTAGCGAAGCTGGACTGTTTAATAACTCTGACAAACATGCCATTTGTTAGAAAAATTATACCAAATACGTTGCGCAAAGCTTATTGGACAAGTGAAAATCGTCATAAATCTGAATGTTTTTTTACATAATTTATTTCGAATAAACATTTGAAATGTGACTGAACAGTTCACGACCCATTTATCAGACGAAGGGTCTGTTTCACCGGTGCCTGATAAAGTTACAAATACTAATCCGACAGATATTTTATTCGTCAGATAAAAGTGTCTGATATATTTTGCGTTTCACCTAGGTATTTCTCGTTAAAATATCTTTCTGATAAATAATCTGGCTGATTGCTCTTTCACCAGCGGCAACGCCGCATTTTCGAGTCGTGCGTGCGAATTCGAATGTGTTTTGGTAATGGTATCAAGCACAGAACAATAAAGAATGTGTCAAGCGTTCTGCGCTTCATTCGTTATTTTGTGTTGCAGTTAACTTGCGTGAGCTGTGTGCGAGTTCGGTGTAACAGTTTGTTTTATTGCGTCGTACTATGTGTATGTAGGAGTTTCAAAATGGAAAGGAAAAAGAAGTGTGAAAGAGGAGTTAATATTATACGTGAAGAAACAAACTTGTACCCCTCGTTGCGGAGAGGAAAAATATTTTAAAATGTAAAGTAAATGGTGCTACCATGTAGTAGGATACAGATTCGCATGGATAGCTATTGACCGACCATTACAATTTTTGACATGATTATGAGAGGAAATCATGGCAAATTGATTCTTTAATTTTTATTGCCTATTTCTCTATTTTCTAATATTGAGACTTTTCTCCAGTGACCAGCATATTATATATTATCAAAATAAATGTCTAAATACTAATTTAGAGTGTGTAATTTACAATTAAATTAAGAAAATAAAAGTCAGAGTAATTTGACTTCAACATCTCAACAGAATGAAGTCCAACGCATTCTGCTGAGAGGGGTGTGGAAAGCCCCATGAAATGAGAGTGATGTATTTTAAATACTAACAACACCAAAACAAATTGTGAAAAATTTGTGGAAAGTTTAAACAGAAAAATGTGAGAAAAAATATGTTGTTACTTGAATAATAATAACTATTATTATTGTTAGAATCAAATTTTATTATTATTATTCAAGTATTCTCTTTTGATTTTTAACAATCATGAACATTTTTTTATTCAAAAAATTATATTTTTATGGTATTTTTATTTTAGAAAGACTATTGTCAAATGTTTGTGAAAAGATTTGACTATAACATGATATTAAACCATTCTAACATACTATTAATACCATGTTGGAATCAAATCTTTTCACAAACATTTGTGACAGTGTTTTCATTAAAATAAAAATTAATTTTGAATAAAGGACCCAAAAAATATTCTAGAATAATCTCAGAAGCACTACAGATAAAAACAAGACTATTAATTCCATGTTACAATCCAATCGTTTCACAAACCTTTATAACAATGTTCTTTCTAAAATAAAATAGCGTAAAAATATATTTCTATACTTTGTCATAGGTTCTGATTGCCTTTATAATTTGTTCTCTTTATTTTTAGTTAGTCCCATCAACAACTAAGATTATTAGTGAACAGTGATATATAGTGATTGCTTACACAATTATATTTTCATACATCATTACTTGCACATAAGTGACATAACATATATTCTAACATTGTATGGCATCACGTATTATTTATAATATGCAATAAAATTATACAGTATTATCATATGTCATTAAGCATATTACAATTTTCACAAAACTTTATCAATTTGTTCTGATATTCAGTTGAATACAATAAGGTATCTAAAGCTTTATTGCGATTAGTAGATTGTCTTTGATGACTGAATTTAGAGCTGTTTTCTACAGTGTGGTATAATGTTAAATAGATGTACAAATATCACAAAGGGAAAGGGATGTTTATAAATTTCTTTGTGTACTACATTTACATCTGATCCTTCCTCCTTTGGTTATTCTTGTTTACTTGCTTTCATGGTTGTCTATTCAAAATAATAACGTTTATCTTTATGCTGATCTCTCTCTCTCTCTCTCTCTCTCTCTCTCTCTCTCTCTCTCTCTCCTTAATGTGAGGATGTATAAGCATGTTCTCACAATGAGTTTTTGTAATTGGATTTTTCTTTTAATAAAATTTTTTAACATTTCTATTTTTTTTGTAACAATCTCTTCTTAATTTAACATATTTTGGTACTTTTTCTCCTGTCTATTTTATAGTTTCTACTAATTACTTATATATTTTTTCACTTAGGCTTGATTTTTTAATGAATTTCATTTCTTATTTCTATATAACTTTTATTTTTGATTCTTGTATTCACTATTTTCAAAAATTGTTGACTTTTTTTTCAGATGGATCATATCATTTAGGCCTATCTAACATATATTGACGAGTGTGATGAGTGTAATTGACATATCGAGTAATTGACATATCATATAGGTGTGTTGGACAATAAAGATTTCGTTTGAAGACAAAAATCATTGATTGTTAAAAAAGAAAAGGATACATGTGTTTAATTAATTTCCATAATAAGAAGCATTCCATAAAGATAGTTCACAAAGGCAGTCACTGTTTAGAGTAGAACACTATAAAATAGGCTTCTCTCAGCGTGAAACCATTCTCCTCCGAATGATATTTTTGAGATGTCACATCTCTTAAACATCGATGAAATGTATTACTAAATGTATATTATAATGCTATTAGTATGTTATATGTTACCAGGTGATGTTATGGGAACATACATGCAATCTATTGCTGCGAGAACTCTAGAAAATCTACCAATTTCATAAAATTTTTCTTGGGTGATTTCTATACTCCTTGGAAGCTTCAGGAACTCACTACACTTGAAGCAGTAGATTGCTCACCCCAATGAAGACTCAAATTACGATAAAAAATGATCCCGTTGCAAAGTAACGCAAAGTGAGAAGTCGGTTCATTGATGATACCTCAGAATTCCAAACAAAACACAAAGTATTCCTTTTTATTATTTTGACAAAATGAATTTAACAGGACCGTTACTTTACCAGGACATTACAGAAATATAATTCGGTATTCACAAATCTTTTTCTATTTTCTGTTATATCAAAGACACAGCTTTGCTAACGGTAGGCTTCCTTAACATGAAATGGGTTTAGCAATCTTGTTTGTCAGGGATCTCAAAATATTCTCGCCGACATGCCGTCTGGTCAGACGCTCTAAATCATCGAATTCGTCGTCTATCGTCTCTATTACATTGTCCATCACGGAAGTACCACACATACTCCTTGAAAATACAGCAGAAACAAATTCTGTTATTTTGGAGTTATCTACCAGATAAACATTTAAGAGTCTCTCGAAGTCCAGTTTATTTATCGGAGACTTTCACCACTGGATAGATTTATCAGGTACTCGTAAAACACAAAATTTCAACATAGTACGATAACTTTCGACGTAATAATCATATTCATTAGGTGACGGTATCAACAGCTCACTACAAAAAAAAATCACATATAATACATGTTCATTTTTTACAACACCTTACCAGATGACATGAAACGATTAAATTCGATACAAAAGTTTAAGTCCTACGTAAAATCTTTTCTGCTGCACTACTGTTTCTATGCAATTAGAGACTATACCGAGCATCCAAAGGAAAGTAATATTAGTATAACAATCACATTTAATGTATTATATACCAATTGGATTGAATAATTATAAAGAACCTGTAACAAGTATTGTACTTCTGCTTCTCGGTCAATGACCCCCATCTTGGTTGGGTTTTCGTCCAGTTTCCCTGATCCTCGAGCAAATGCTGAGATGACCCCTTGTTTTGCCTCATGGACATAAATGCACCTTCAAATTAACTTCTCCTCATAGCACGTCACACAGTTTTTAACTGTTTTAGGCATAAATAAATAAACGAGGATAGACTATCAGACACAGGTGCAACAGGCCCTAAGCAACGTAAATCGATACGAAATCGCTCTGTGAAGCCGAGACCCAAGTACTAAAAAAATACATATCTCAGACCAAAATGCAGCAATCGATATGCAACAATATGGTGTCGCTCGTGGGCGGAGGGACTGGGAGGACGTGGGAGTTTTGTGTCTTTGCGTGTGCGTACAAGCGTGTGAGGAGCTTTCGAATGTGTCAGTGTGAATGGTGTGATAACAATAATAGCGGTGAAGTGTAATACATTCTTCACACTAAAAAAAATATACTCTGTGACTATTGCGAGATGTGTGTTAAAAATTGTAATGGGTCGAAATGTTCTGTACACGCATAGAGAGCAATTATAATGCATCTGACACCACAACTTTTAAATTCTCTATAGACAAAGTTTTGCGGGAAAAGGGGGTGAAACGTATTCACCGTGATAGTTTTGAAGTGACTGATAATTCATCAGTATGCATTAAACACCTTGACGTAAAGTTTATTGTGAAGGAAGATATTATTCGCGTGACACCCAGTGATATCGGAATCTCCCGGAATGTTTATAAATGAATAGATAATGCATATTCCACTTTTTCCAATTCAACCTTCCTACCATACTATGATTAAAAAAAAAGGCGAAATCCTGAAGACAAGATCCAGGAACGTATGAGGTGAGATCAAGATAATTTTGAGCAATAAGAGGTGACAAAATTGTTAATTTGGTTAAAATATGGTACATGGTACACCCTCAGAGAAGCGTGGTGGCGGGGGAGGGGTCTCCTTAAGCCCTCCCTCACATGCTACGCGCTCTGATAGAAATTAATAAAACTCAGGGATAGGCGATTTTGTGTCTCGCCGTTCATACGCTTCATTCCGCCGCATTGTAATGCCAATTTGCTTTCAAAAGCAAGTTTTCTCGCTTCGCTCGCCGGATCCAAGTCAAGGCAAGGCCTTCGGCCCTCGCGTTTATTATAAACATCCTCGAGTCTATCCACCGCGTAAGTACCAATTCACTTTTATAAGAAAGCCTCCAGAATTCAAACAGCGCAGTTGCCGCCGGAGCGGCGCGAAGTGTCGGTTTAAACTATTTCCGTAAGTTGTACCGTATACTAGAGTTCAGCCGCCGATTTTGCATTCTGCTATGATATTATGAAGTGGGTAAAACGATTTACTGTTATTCTAAAGGAAGACGATGTATTGTTTACAAAAATCAATGATGCCTTTTTTAATGTCATGCCTACCATAACAATATATTTCAAATTCCTTGGGAGTTCAGATGTTCCATAAAAGTGTGTGCTTTTCTACAGAACAATTAAA